TGGATCCCTCTTCCTGTTACTTCATTCACTACACCTCCCTCGTCTTGTCCAGACTATATCACTTCACTCTGTATTCCCAGAGTCCTTGGTGAGATTTACTAGATCCCTTCTTATCCTATGTTGACATGATCTTATGTTTCTACTTCCTCACTGAACCATTAAGTAGCTTTTGGATGATGAACACAAGGATCCAGTATCTTGTCACATCCAGACCCTAAACACAGGGCCTAGCAGATGGCAAGTTATTAGGTCTAGTAATAATTAATGTCGTTTTCTAATACTTTTTTAAATCGAATTTATTTAAACAATACAACAAAATTTAATCAACAATATAGTTGCCGTTGTTTTCTACTACTTGTGCCCAACACTCAGGAAGCATTTTAATCCCTCTGTTGTAAAATTCTTGTGATTTTGATGCAAAAAATTCGGTCAATGCATTTTTGAGGCATTCTTCATTATTACATTTTTTTCCAAGAAGAAAGTTTTGCAAAGAACAAAACAAATGGTAATCGGAAGGGACAATATCAGGAGAATATGCAGGTTGAGGGAGAACTTCCCATTCCAACTGGCGCAGTTTTTCAGCAGTGATTCTTGCAGTATGCGGTCGTGCATTATCGTGGTGAAGAATTACCATACGCCCTTCTGATTAATCAGCGCGAGTTCTTTTTCTCTTAAAGCTTGGGCTAACCTTTCCAATTGGGCACTATACACTGCACTTGTAATGGTTTGGTTAGATGGTAAAAGTTCATAATGAAGAATTCCTTTAAAATTCCACCAAACACACAACATCACTTTTTTCGCATGCAGGTCAGGTATTGGCGTGGGCTGCGGAGCCTCATTTTTGTCCAACCATTGAGGCCGCCTTTTCAAATTAACATACAGCACCCATTCTTCATCTCCAGTAACAATTTGCTCTAAAAACGGCAAACGGTTTTGACGAGAGAGGAGCGAACTGCAAATTGTGACTCTTTGATTACAGTTGTTGGTCAACTCATGAGGAACCCATTTTCCAAACTTTTGGACTTTGCCAAGTGCACGCAATTGATTGGAAATTGTTTTTTGTGAACAATTTAAAGTTGTCGCAAGCTCTTGTTGGGTAATTTGAGGATTTTGCACCAAAAGAGCTTGAAGAGCTTCTTGATCAAAATTGAACACACGGCCTCGACCACTCTTGTCATCTAACGAAAAATTTCCCTCGCGAAATTTCTCAAACCAACGCTGGCATTTTCTGGCGCTAACTGCATCTTGACCAAGAGCACTACAGATGTTTTTTGCAGCCTCACTTGCTTTTCTTCCTAATTGGAACTCGTAAAGCATGCAGTTTCGAATATGCTCTTCAGCCGCCATCTTCTTAGCCCTAGTTTTGCAACAAAAACCAAACCAAACACAAACTTTTTCAAGCAAAACTTGTTAATTGCACTTCACACGTTCTGTAGATACCACGTGTTTGAAGGTTATGTCAATACAAGTCAACGCCAAGCAAGATTTTAAATGAATGTTTAAAAACGACATTAATTATTACTAGACCTGATATTCACAAACACTATTAAATTACATCTTCTTCTCCCAAAGTCTACTTCCTCGTCCCCTTCATTCACCTCCCCACACATATATAACAATACCCTTTCTCCCCAATCCCTAATGTAGAAAGAACTGCTTACTTGTTATTTTGATATTCTATTGAACTAAACACAAGAGCAAATAATCTGATTCTACCTAAGAAACACTACCTAATAACAAACCCCTTCTTCCACCTCATGGCACCTTTCAGTCTATCCATATAAGAGAGAAATGGAAGGCATAAATGACAGTATAGAGTTTTATAGACCAGAGTTTGATTCCTAAATTGGCTTTTAGTACACACTTCTAACCAAATTACTCAAGTTTTCTGAACCTCATTTCTTCATTTTATTAAATAAGTGTGTGTAGGGAGCGGCTACAGGGTTAAGTCTTGGACTGACCTGTTGGCAAAGCCACAAACAAGTCCCAGTTTAGAGGGCACAGCCCTCTTAGCATAATTAAGCTTGACCTTATGATGCCCCATAGATCCTATCTGGGTAGCTAAGGGGCTGTGGGTGGTGCAGCAAGTGCTGCCAAAACAAGTGAAACTCACAAGAACATTGTAACTATGGTGACCACTACCTTGTTTACCTCTGACTATAAAATAAAGGCTCAGCTTGCCGTCTGGATCTCTCTCTGTGGCCTCAGCCAGGCACAGGAGATCCACTGAGACACAGCTATATTCTCTTGTCTATCATTTTTTCAATCCTTCACCGCCTTCCCTCAGGCTCTCCGAACCCTTGGCTGAGCTGGCTGGGCACAGTGTGATAGTAATACCCCCAAATAGTATGGTTGTGATATGTGCATGTCGTTTCTATAATACTTGCTGTATCTTTTGTAGATCCATGATACATAACTGCATTCAAGGAGTTTATAGTGTTAAGTTCTAAATTGATGTTCATTCTTTGAATGTTTGATTAAGACAAAGACCAGAGAAGGCTATAAAGCAGCTGTTCCCTGATGTGGTCAATAGATATAAGCACTATGACTAAGTACCTGCCTCTCTCATTGAGAAAAATTTCATGGGTGAGCCAGAGCCTGACATAAATACAATAGTTCTACTCTATGATGAGAAGCAAACAGTAGGCACTCCAAGTTGGTGCCTACTTTTAAAAAACATCTCCCTCTTTAAAAGTACCTGCGAGACTTCTCATTTCAAATCTGACCATGATAAAACACAGAAAATATGCACATGTCTGTATTATTATTCAGGGTCATACCAATCTACCCTGTTTCCCCGAAAATAAGACAGTGTCTTATATCAATTTTTTCTCCCAAAGTTGCACTAGGTCTTATTTTCAGGGGATGTCTTATCTTTCCATGCGCTAGCTCTTATTTTCGGAGGATGTCTTATTTTCAGGGAAACACAGTATGTACATAGAGTGGACAGTGGGCAAAAGAATGAGTTATCAAAGAACATTTTGTACTGAAAACTGAGTTAAAATGCTCTCATCTCCTCTTCCATTGGAGTTTATTGAACCAATCACTGCTAAGCCTTAACCAATGAATTCTATTGAACGTGCATTTGTGTCAACAGAGAACTTGGCATATATTTTCTTAGACTCTGTTGTCTGAATCTGATTATAAAATACTTATAGGTAGGAACTATGCTTCCTTTATCCTATGGTTCTCTTACTCTTAATAGCCAGGAGCTGTTTGCTTAATGGCATCAAGAGTGGTAAGCATCAATGTCCAGCGACATCCTGATCCCTTGATGGCTAAGAGTTCAATTTTCCTTAAAAATTACTTTTCAAAGGAAGTATTTTTAAAAGAAATCTTTTGTCCTTCAATATTAAATGAGCACTTAATGTGAGGATAGAGAATAATAAGTCAATGTCTCTGCCCTTAAGAAAACTCAGTCTTTTATAGAATACTGAATTCATGCATGGATGGGGTCCCCAGGCTTGGCTGGCCATCAGAGCCAATCAGGGCTATACCAATCAGGGCCAAGTGGATTGAGGCTGGACCATTAGGGCCTGCCAGCCATGGGGAAGGATGGGGAGAGGGACCATGAGAGGTTGACTGGCTGAGGGGAGGGACCATAGGAGTTTGGCTGCCAGCCCCAAGGAGGGAGCCAGCCTTCAGGCCCCCTGGAAAAGGGGACGTGTCCACCTCCACCCACCCCTAGGTCCCCATCCCAGCCAGGGCCTTCAGGGTAGGGAGAGAAGGCAATGATCACTGGGCAGGGCACTGGACACTGATGCTGCTGTCCGTACCCCATCACTATGCAGTTCCCCACCGCCCCCCTTTCCCTAGCTGCCACACTGCCACCATGGTGGGCAGGCAGTCCCCAGGGAAGGGAGAGGGAGGGAGAAGAGGGAGACAAACCCTTGTATTGAAGGCTGATTTTCAATAGATCACAGTGAGAAAGCTGCTCTGCTATGTATGAAACCCTGATACAGAAGCAGGTCGTCTATGAATGGTTTAGCACCAGGGCTGATGGGGGCCAAAGGGACCACGGGAGGTTGGCTGGCCTCAGGACGTCAGCTGTGGGAGCACACTGACCACCAGGGGACAGCTCCTGTGTTGAGTATCTACCCCCTGGTGGTCAGTGCGTGTCATAGTGATTGGTCAATTGGTCATTCTGGTCATTCTGGCTGTTCAGTGGTAACGGTCGCTTAGTCTTTTATATATAGATTAATGTACCAATTTATGTCTCCAAGAAGAGAGTGGGGCTTCTTACATCCAACATTTCGACTCCGGTTGTAAATTATGTTAAATGAATGTTTAAAGTGACTGTGTGTGTGTGTGTGTGTGTGTGTGTGGATAAGAGCTGGTGAGGGAAGAGTGAGCAGAGATTAGGATAAGATAAGGTGACAGGGGCAGTTAATGAGTCAGCAGCTGGTGGCAGCAAGGACTTCAAGAACTGGATACAGAAGCAGAAACTTTTTTTTAGGTTACACCTTCTTTTATTGTCAAACCTTTTTTTAAAAGAGCATAGATTTTCCTTACATACAAGGGACTGCTTTTCTTCTAATCTGTAAATAATCTTGGAACAGCAAATATTTAAGAGCCATCTCAAAATTTTTCCAGGATCTAACTTTGCCATGATTGGTCAGCTCCTGACAAACACTTATTTTATTAGTCATTTATTCTGTTTTCTTTCTTAGTCCTCTCCAGGTCAGCTCTAAAAGTACAGAGTATTCCTGAGGGCCATTCAGGCCATCTGAAGAGAAACTTCTCTACAGACTCTGTTCTGTGTACACTCAACCATTCCTATAATGGAATGCCAGCAATGTTGCCTGAAGCAACCTGACACATGCAACAATATGTGTATTCATTGGAATATTAAACAGAGAAACAGTTCTACAGCGCAGGCTTTGTGATCTGTTGATCATAAGCCCTTAGATTCTAGTTTCTTCCTCATCACACATCACCATCTACCCCTAGAAAATACATTTTATTGCACATTTTGTGGCAAGATTTATAGCAATTATCACCCAAATCCATAATTAGCAAGTGGTAACAGATAAGCAGATAGATCCACTTATAGTGACATCTCTGACAGATTGACACCTCCCCCTTTAAAAATACCTGCAAGATTTCTCATTTCAAATGTGACCATGCTCAAACAGTGTTGGCAAGCCTCGTCTCGTGTTCCTGGAGGGGGAGGGGGCTATAAAAGCAACATGTTCTCACAAGCATGGCAGAGCCCATGCATAAACCATTTGGCTTTGCAATTAAAAACAGGTTTGGCTTCCCTCTGCATCAGTAAGACAACGTCAAAGCAACATTCATCCCGAAAATTTTCCCTTGTGAATTCAAATGAACTGTGAGTCTTGGGTTTCTCTTTGTTTGCATGTGCATGCCTTGAGAGAGAATTTTTGGAAGGGTGCTGTGTGTTTCTTTCTGGGGGAATGCCTTGATATGTATGTATGGAATCACTGCTACCAGATTGGTCTCAGTGACACTTTCCATTCTGTGTTCCTTGAATATGTGGTTACTACTTTGGATTCATTCCGTCAGGCTTATTATTTCACGTGAGTTAACTAAGTCCGACCTGCTTGCCCTAGGATATGATCACTCATTCTAAAGATTTTCCTGAGCAATCGACTCTCACAACTGGACCTGAGTTTCAAAGATACTGAAAAATATAAATATATTTATTCCTGGATGTGTGGTAAACTTGACTACAATGATAGCTAATTTTATCTTTATCATTGTCATTCTTAAATGATGCATCTTGAATGATGCCTTATTTTAGGAGAAATCATTATTTTATAGCTAAAATCCTTTCCCTCACTGTGTAATGAAGAGTTTTAAAAGATACTATGAAAGCCAATCCTACTTCCAGTGAAATTGTCAATATTCTATAAGATAGTTTGCTTCTATTTTCCTTTCACCCATTCAATTGCACAGAAAAAAAAATTAAGTGTTAATTGTTAAACAAAAAAATTGAACATTCTGCCACAGAAGAAATTGCAAAATAGTGAAACCTAACTCATGAGTCAAAACCTGTCAGATACCAGACCATTCTGCCTATGACAAGATTTTTACAATAGAATAGGTCACCTGCATGCAGGCCCTCCCAATGATGTATTAGGAAAGTCCTATAGAGAGACAATGTATTAAGAGTGTCAATTTTTCCATAATAATGGTGATGATCAACAGTTATTAAAACAAAAACAACACCACCAAAAAATAATTAATCTCAGTGCAGTACACTTGAACTAAAAGTTATAATGGAATGATTCTGCCTCTATGTAGACTACAATAATCTCAACAAACTTGACTTAAGAAATTTTAGTTTACTCATAGTTTTTTTTAGATGAAATTGTGTATGTCACACAATCACCTCAAAAGTTGTCCAATAGAATAATTACTGAAATAGATTTACTTTTTAACTGCATCCTTTTGAAATCCATTATTTGAGATAAATATAAAGCATTTTAATAATGTGTGAAACAAAAATATTTTCAGTACAAAGTAAATAAAAAATATACTGATAGTATGTATAAAATAAATGGTAGTATGTATAGTTGTGTTGATTTTTTTTATTTTAAACCTATTATGTTATATATTTACCTTTATATAAAAGTATAGACACATGCACATAATTTAATGTGTCTCAGAAATATGTTTTGCTTGCGTTTGAACTATGGACTCAGTAAAAAGGAAAAGAGAAAATATATTTTTATAAATATAAATTTTCATTGTTGCTTTGATAAAATAAGTCAATTTTCTAAATTAAGATGGCACTAACTATAAATGCATATTTTCTATTTTCATTAATTCCTTATATTGGAGATTTTTTTATCCACTTGGACTGCCATTTGCTAGACTAGATGTTTTATTACTTTACATAAAAAAATTAAAGTATAAGGAGCAACTTTAAATTTAGTACAACAAAAGCAGAAATAAATTCAACTTTTAATGTCACAAAAATCACATTACAATTTCATTAAAAAATAAGAATAAGCATAAAAATAAAGTAGAAATATAACTGTATGAAAATAAAAATAATTTAACAAATTTCTTTGTGACTTGAGCCTTCCCTTCCATTTTCCAAAATATTACTTCCTATTGAAAATATTTTTTAATGAGCAAAGAATTACTACCAATTAATTTAAATACTGATTGGAGGGGAGGAGAGTGTATGCTTTTATAAGCTTATAAATTTTACTAGCAAAGCTACATTATATGCATATGTTCTTTATTAAGTCAGTGTTAATAGCTTCATTTCCTCACAGTTATATATCTGAAGTCTGGTAAAAGAGAAGAAAGAATAGAAGGGATTATTAGAACTTTAAATGTAAGTTTTCAAATGCCCAATAAAATGACATGAGTAAGTGATTGGAGAAGGTTTTTGAGATAGAGATGGGTTAAATAATGAAATATTCTAAACTCATTGGGAATTGTGATTGTTAGTTTCTGTGAGAGCTCCAAGAGGTCGAATGGAAAGAACTGCTTCTAGGAGTGGGTTGAAGAATCAGAACGTTATTAATAAAAAGTCTTAGATCTTAATCATAAGTTTTCATGTAAGTCCATTAAGTACCCTATGTGCAAAGCAAAAATGTACACGAGTCATTACATCATTATACTAATTTGTCATATGTCTGAACAGACAACTCCCATCGCCGAATTTATTCCCAACAGCTAGAACTACACAACAGTTGTTTTAAACGATTGTTGTGGTGGCTTAGTTTTGTTTTTAAGCTATGCCTCCATTTTTATTCAGCTGGAGAATTTGCCTTCCCAAACTTACCGTAAATCATATTTATGAGGAAGCCTTCTTTATGGAAACAGTGAAACCAAAGCACCTGCGTATTGGAACAACATCACTGACACAGCTTACATAATGCTGAGCGTGAACAAGCAGGCAAGCCGTCTCTTTCTCTCCCTGTGGTTCAGAGCCAAGGACGGGGCTGAAATGCAATATTCTTCTTCTCCTGTTTGTATTTTGGGTCACACATGTCCTGTAAAAACATGGCCAAAAGCACAGGCTTACCACACAGGTGTGCTTTGGAAGTCGCTAGTAAAAACGATTTTAAAACTTTTAGAAACCGCCAAGCTCTGAGGAAATGCTTATTAAAGACTCATAAAATTGCAAAAAATGAGGGAAAAACATCCAGTAAACTTTTCTGTATGTGCTTTAAGGAAGTCAGTTTAGCCTCTGTCCATGTGGGCTAGGTTGTGGTGAACTCAGGCAAGAAAAACAAGCTTGGCCATTGTTTCACAATCGAGTGCTAAGGAGAGTAAAGAACAGCAGTTCAATATTCACGAGGTTGTCCATGAAGGCAGTCATTTCCACCCTTCACCATCATAATTCTAAATTTTCACAAATGATTAAAACCTTTGCAAACTAATCCCCCAGATTGTGTCCATGAGCTCGATGATAAACTGAGTCTGAATGCTATCAGATGACATTGGAAATGGCCCGTGAGTTGTTTCTGCCAGGTACCTGGACCATGAGGCAGTGACTGAGTGAATTCAGTCATTTTAGTGACAAGTGTAGGATTGTTTCATCTTCATTAACTTTAGGGAAAATCCTAGGTACATGGTCTTAGAGATCCTGATACAGTCAGTTGTTGGATATCCCTCGAAGAAGTTATGGTTTTGCAAATGTCAAAAGGAAAAAAAAAAATTTCCTTCAATTTTATAATATAGGTAGAATACTTAACTTTGTAACTTTAAAATTACTTAAGCTAACTCAATCAGCTCAATTCTGTATAACCACCTTATTTCTGAGCATATAGTGACTTTAATGTTCATTCAGTAACAGTTTTCAAACCTGTGTAAGCCCAAGAATCTCCTAGGATGAGATTGTTAAAAATGCACACACCTGAGCACAGTCCTACTTTTAAGGAATCAAAATCTCTAAAGGAGAGTCCTGAATATATGCAGTGTTTTAAAGCATTTTGGGTACTGCTTATGATCAAGCAAATTTGGGGATTCCAACTTAATTGGAATAGATTTGATGTTGGGGAGGAAAAAAGAACAACACTAAAATGCCCAAGAATCATAGAGAGAGGTCTTTATTATATTCCCCTAAGTAGCACAAGGATCTATTTTCTTAGAGACTTCCTGATGTCTGGTGTATAGATTTAGAGATAGCACAATAATCAGTAGCTGGTGTCTAGTCTGAACATACACAAACACACAAATGTAAACATTTTTAAACACTGTCTCAAAAGCTTTAGGGAAGGAACATAATAGAAATTGTAAAAAAAAAAAAAAAAAAAAAAAAAAAAGAATCTCAAATATAGCTGTAAAAATTGTGAAATGAATGAAATAAAAAATATTTAATTAAATAAGAACATCTAATTATCCAGTAGCTACTTGGTATTTCATTAAAATCTACCTGGTTCCATAACTTTAATATGTCATCTAGATGTAAGTCTCAAAAAATGTGTATTTATACAGATATTCTTGCAGATACCCACGAGTGCAACTTCTAAAGATAAATGACACTTTGAGTGCGATGGGATAATATAGTCATTAAATATAGTGCTTTATTTTCTGGACTATTGCTTCTGTATTGAAAATAATATACTTTATAAAGCAAAAAAAGTCCAATAAATATAGCATAAGAAAATGGATTTTGTTTCACCTTTTGACTAAGAAAACTTTACCCAACTATAGCACACACCACAGTGATCAATAATTCTGAGGTTTTTTTGTTTTTCTGTAGAAAATGCAAAATTATCCAGGTTGCCTATTCATTACATAACAAGTAAAAAAAAAAAAAAGATGGTTCACACAAACATTATCTAATACAAGCTCCTCTAATGTAATACCTCTTATAGGTCAAATGTCCCTTTCCAACTCCCCATATCCACCAAATACACATAAAGTTTACATACTGGGGTATAGGTGAACAAGCTTTCACCTCATAATGCAGTTAATATTCTACATATTTTTCCAGAGAATTATTTTGAATAAATTGCTACCACCACTAGTAATAATACTTATCAAAACATTAATATTTAATAAACCAATAACTTTATATCACCCTAATACAAAGAAACTGAGGTACTCACAGGAGCTGGAAGAGACTTTCATTTCAGATCATGAGGCTGGACACTATCCCAGAAAAACCAAGACCCAATGGCAATCAGAGAGAGAATAGTAATTACTGTAATTATTAATTTTATCTGTAAATCCAGTTAAATAATTGTCACCTCCATAAAATTTCACAAAGAAAAAAAAACATAATGAATAATTTAATACAAAAGTAGCCAAATGAAATTTCCACTTCCAGAAACTTTAGTGACTTTGGCTGCAGTGGCAATCTGTGCACAGATCATTGCTTGCCCTTTCACTTCGCTTAAATGCCTCTAGGGGATCCTAATAGCTATATGATATGTTTGCTTTGGAATCAGATACCTGGAACGGTTAGCAGATGACCTGAACACTCGGTGATAAATTAAACCTTGTCTGTTTGCTTATTTGTTACCTGTATGTTGTGACTGAACATTCCCATTCAAAGATTGGCTTTTAAATTAAAAAGCGAGAGTCTGGAAAATTGTTCAGGTGATATTCATAGGTTGAAGTCAGTGATAATACTTTAATTCTATTTCCAAGTGGAGATTAAAAGGAGATGTAGCTGCTTCTCCATTTTTTTCTTCTTTTCCTATAGACAGAGACAACACTTTGAGACCTTCAGAGAGCCTTATTTGTTGTGAAAATAAGGTTTAACCCTCATGCTCTGTCTTCCTCTTTCTCACTTCCCTGACTGCAGGAAACTGTGGAGGAGATCTGATAGCAACCCAAAGAGCTTATTCTTCATCCATTCTCCTGTCCTTATCCCCCAACCCCTACCAAGCAGGGTATAAGAAGGGCAAAGTTGTAAATCCATTGAGAATTTATAGACAAGAGCATAATTTCTCTTGGACTCCCTAGTGAAACAACTTGGAATTGCTCCAGTTGTGAATAGTTCTGTGTATGGGAACATTGCATGTCTAAGACAGGGGAAGGATGGATCAGACAAGGACCTGGCAGCTTGTTCTCCTTTAGTGGACAACAGAGAAGTCCAGTAAATGCCAACCACATGGCCCCTGGAAAGGAGACATCTATCCTGCTGTTGCTGTACCAGGCCACATGAAAAAGAGAGTCTGTCTGTCTACTACCACTAGGACATCAACTACCTATTGAGAACCTATTATTGTATGTAAGAGCCTAGCACATGGATAAAATCAGTATAAGATATGGTCTTGCCTTCAAGGAGTTTATAATCTCTGTGAGTAGACAGGATTTAAGCTCGAAATGTCTTCGCCAAAAAAAAGAAAAAAAGAAGAGTCGCATGAAAAGTATACAACTTAAGTACAACTATAGCAATGAGTACATCCTTCAAGATTTCTGAGAGAAAAAAATATCACAGGCTCTTAAGATTACTGGAAATGAAATAAATTATGGATTGTGATTGTGAACAGTTGAAATTAAGATGGTAATTATTTCTGATATTAAGAATTTACCCTGACATCTCATTATTTCTGACTCTCTCTAATTCATTTACAATACTCTCTAACCAATGCAAAGCTGTGAGGTGAGCCCATCATCAGAGAGGAAGTGGTAATAAAAACAAACATTAAGAGATTTTTTTTTCTTTTTGTTAGGTTTTGAATTTGTTTTATTCCTCTCTTGTGAAAATGTTTGGGGCTGAATTTGCTGACTTCTATCCTGAGGAGAAGGCAGGGGTGTTTAAGAAATCCCTGAGCACACTGAATAATCATGCTCTGTTTTCCTTTGTCTACCATTCCAGTATTACAGTAATGGTGTTTGCAACAAGTCAGTACAGATTCACAAAAACAAAGTTCATGAAGAAGTGAAAACTACAGTCAACTTGTCATTTTTTTTTAAGTTCCTTTGTTATGTCTAGCTGTTTTAGCCCAAACTTTCTCCGCAATTCTATACTTGTTACTAACATTGATTTAATGTGTTCAGACAATTTACCTACCATACATTTTTTACAATTCAGCGTTGATAAGAATGTCTCTTTAACTCTTTGGCAGATAGAAACAAACCTATACTTTTGCAATGGCCTATATTATATAGGTTAACAAGGTTATTTCAATGGCTATTACAAATGTAGAAGAGCTGACTTCCAATAAGGAAAAAAAATGGTGGAGGGAGAGGAGGGGGGAAGGAAAGGAAGATCTGACAAATGGAAGCGAAGGGGGAGAAAGAAATAGAGGAAAAAAGAACAGTAATTATTGTTATAGGGCGCTGTCTTAGATTGTTACACAAATATTTCTCTTGACTGAAATAATAGTGCTATAAAGTTATAACATCAGTTACTTAAAAACAAGCCTCCCACCCACACAACCTTGCAATTCAAATGTCTTGCTCGTTTTTCTTGTTATATTACTATGAGCAGTCTCTTAGTCAAGTCTCAATTTGACTGACATATTGTCATAGGCTGCTAGTTAGCCAATTCCATTTAACAAAAGCAGTGAAATGGCCCTAACACTCCTATTGCTTCCACTACTCTCAGAAGCTCAACCAGATAATCTAGCTAATAAGATATGTCTGATATTGAGGGGCCCCATACGACCACAAACTCTCTGCGGTCCTTCTTTACATAATGAAGATGCTATTTAGGATATGTTCTCAAGTTAGCATTCAGTTCTTTGAGATATATATTAATTTTTCCCCTTCACATTTACATTTGAAGAAGGGGCATGGCAGTAAGTTGTAAGAAAATGAGGAACCAAAATTGTGGCTAAAATGAAAAAAAGTATACTAATAATTGACATTAACATGTTACTAAAACATTTCAAGCACAGTTCTGAGAGTGTTGCCCAGGCTATCTCATCCAATCCTCATCACAATTCAATGAGGTGGGTGCTATGATCACCCCATTTTGTAAACCAGAAAATTAGGGTACAACAAAGTCAAATGACTTGCCCAAAGTCTCACAGCAGGTAAGTGGCATAGTCAGAATTCAAATCCAGGCAGTTTGACTTCAAATATACACTCTTAACTCCTGCAGTTCCATGTAAACAGTGTAGGAACATTAGTTAGCAAAGTTCAGAATTTGTAATTACAAAAGAATCACATAAAAAAATGACAAATAGGTTGAGGAGTGATTTCCTAGATCCACCATGGTATTCTGAGAATCTGAATCCACTCAAATTTTCTACTATCTAATAACCTCCTATAAACAAATATCCAATAAGCATTGAGTCACAGTTTCCTCATCCATGTAATATAAATAACAACCTCCTTTCGTGTAGTGTTGTTGTAAAGAATAAAATAATATGCAAAGCCCCTGGCAGAGAGGCCAATACACAATTGAAGATCAATAAGAAGTAGCTACAATCTGTTGACAAAAATAAATAAAGAGGTAGCTATTATTTATATCTATTATTGTATGTTCCCCTTCCTCCTCACTATCCGATCTATCTTGCACTTACATGTCCGCTGTCACTTCAGAAAGCAAATGAAAGTTCCCACTCAGCCCATCAAAATACACCGCAATGCTAGGAAGCAATATCTTGGACAGAACTCCAATTGGGAAATAGGGAATACATGAACTAGAACTCCTTGGACTTAATAATCAGCTTCGAAAGGAAGTACTTCCATATGATGGTGAAAGTTGTTTCAGAAAGATCTGTTAGAGCGGTACAGAGATGGAAACTCAGATAGGCATGCTGACTGAAAGAAGAAAGTTACGGCTGCGTAACTGTAATTAGGTAAGGTGCATCCAAATACATTTATGATTCAGAAAGTTAACTCCACATGTCTGGGAACGATCAGGGCCTGTTTCTACTTCATATTCTCCTCAGTCTGATTTTCTCTGCCTCTCTTCCCTTCAGAGCAGGCAGCCCAAACATGTGAAGGAGTATGGCTCCCAGATTTCACAGAAAGAGAAAGGGTGGGGCCAATTGCACCTTTGCAGGTCTTTGTCCCCTTGCCCTGGCCATGGCTTTCCCAGTCTGTGCTGAAACACAGTCCGAGTCCTGCTTTCAGTGGTCACAGAGGC